GAGTAGTTCTTCATTAAATTATATAATCAAATTTTTATTTTAATTTGATTTCAAACATATTAATCTAAATAGTGGAATAATGTAAGTTTGATTTAAATTTAAAGTTTGTCCGGCCAAAATTTGATATTTTTCTATTATATAGAAACTAGATATAAGAGGGCCCGTTAACGGGCCCAATATTACAATCTTAAATATATTTGAGGTATTTAATTAGATTTTTGAAAAGAAAAATTATCAGTGGACTAATGTAAGTTTGATTTAAATTTAAAGTTTGTCCGGCCAAAATTTGATATTTTTCTATTATATAGAAACTAGATATGAGAGGGCCCGTTAACGGGCCCAATATTACAATCTTAAATATATTAGAGGTATTTAATTAGTTTTTTGAAAAGAGAAATTATCATTAATATTTTCTAATAATAATGATAGTAAATGATAATTTAAATCACACATGATGATGATATATATATATATATAAACCTATTATTTTATTAAATCATAACTTATAACGTATTTAAATTGTCTTAATTAACAATACAATATCATATGCACCAAGGTTATTTTAACATAGTGTCAAACAAATACATTTGAATTAAACACTTAATTTGATGATATTCTTTTCACATTTAGAGTAGTATAAACATGAAAAATAAAATTAAATTATATCTTATTTTTAAGATAATAAATATTATTTTTAATTATTTATTTTTAATAGATATGAAAAATAAATTAACACAGAGAAATAGACAATCTTTTTATTTCACTTTATTTGAAAATCAACATCTGATTATGAAAATTTGTCACGACCCAAACTGTCGTTATTGGCACCCACGCTAACCCTTTGGTGGGAGAACCATTACTACAACCCAAACTAACAAACTTTATGAAAACTAAGGCATTTAAAGATACGGAAGCATGTTTAAATGACAATAAAATGGAGTCCCCATAAACTCCAACTTTTAACAAACAACTAACCAAACTAATGGGGAAGAACAACCCCTAGAAACTGAAAGTCATTTTACCAAACTCTACTAACGACAAGTCTAAGAACAAGGGGTACAACCCCAAAACTAAACAAACACCTTAAACAAATAGTCTAAGCCCGAAAAGAATGCAGCTACTCTAGGGGGAATGTTTTTATGCGGCGCTAACAATTTAATAACTATCTTTGTTAAACAAGAAAGATTCATGGCAACCTGAAAGAACTGGCTCACCCTTGAATCCGGTCACGCTCAATAGTCACTTAGCTGAGGTCTATCAATAGCCGCCTGAAGATACCATGTACTTAACAAAGAACAAGCAAGTGCAGTATCAGTACACAACCACAGTGTACTGGTAGGATCACGCGGCTATCCCAATAAGTGAAACACATGCAAGTAACCACAACATCATAAAACAGACATATACCAAACATATACAATATTAGTCAACTATTACGAATAACGAACAGTTTCATGATTCTCACATATCACAGTTATATCAATTTAGAGCAACATACCGTCTTCCAATATCAATCATCATTAGATATGAACGTAATCATCACAAAATTGCCTCTTAGGTATGGAGGAAGGCCAATAGCCCTTTGTTGTTTGTATGAAAGTTTAAGTAAAATAAGAAACTAAAAGTTCTTACAACATTTGATAAGAAAAAGTAAACAAACAATGTAGATTCAAACTGCACAACATGAATAAATGTATTAATGATCTCCTAATTAAGCTACCAAAAATGTTGATAAACAGATCAACACACAATCTCTAGAAAACATAAGGTTTCATCACCACTTGTATTATTCAGGGAAATAGCTAATCAAATAATATGCTCAAAAATACATTTCAATCTAAATATATTAAAATTTGTCAATCGAAAAAAGAAAACAGGGATAAAGACAACACTGCTAATTCAGTACCTAGCCACTTGAAACTTTATTTCACATCATCAATAAATAATATCACCAAAAAAGATTCTTTTATATATTAGCTATTTCTGTACTCTTCATGAGTTAATCTAGATTACGTGTATTTAGCCAACCTTTGCTATCCCAGAAACCACATAACAGAGAGGTGTTTTGAAATACCTTCAAAAACCAAGTAAACACCAATCGTCAACTAAAGAAGTCTAAAACTAAGTGCAAAAATAAAAATCAGAGAGCTATAAACTAACATTAAAAGATACGTATGTTTCATCTAGGAAAAAATTTAACAGATAGACCCTCATGTTAATTGCAAACTTGTAGACAACTTCAACTGAAATAAGTAAAAATTTGTATAAAGTTTGTCAGGATCTTATGATTTGGTGAGTGATTCAGGTAAACTCAAGTATCATTGTTTGATGCCTTACCGCGATGTCATAGTAGCTATTTCAAATAGATCTTGTCGACATTTCTCAATGAATTTGCAGTCACAAAGTGAACGTCAAGTAAATAATTGGTGAGAGCTTAAGAACAACATTTTTCAAAATGTAAGCAACTCTCAGTGCAATAAACTAAAAAATAACTTAAAACAACAAAGTAAGTGATAAATTAAAGCTAAGAACTTCATATTTCCTAGCGCAAGTGACTTCCAATAGCAAATTGTATAAATGTAGGAGTAATTTAGGATAGTATGTCATCGAAAGATATTGCTAGCTTCAAGTTACGACATACACAGAGAGTTTTAAATTTGATGTGGCTACAATAAACAGTACATCAGTTATTTATCCTAATCATTTATCTCAATTGTAAGGTGTTGGGGGAAAAGGTCAATGGGCATGTTTGTGTTGCCTATGGGTTTTGTGTGTAATTTTAAGAGGTGTGTTGGTGTAGATAGCTAACATAAAGTAGGCCAGGGTTCATTCAACCAACTGAAACAGCAATATGAACCTCAACGGAGCAATATGAGCATTTAATTAATCACGAGAAAGAACTATTGAAAACCCAAGGCAATCAAAGAATTGATACGCACGTCGAAGCAAGTTCTCCCAGGTTCTCTAACTCTTCTACCAGAAATTTCAAGAATATAAGACCCGTCTCTGTCTACTATTCATACATTCTAGAGTTATTGGCGGTGAAGCAGGAAATATATATAGTCTATGAAATTCAGGAGGAAGAAGGAATATACCCAATGCCAACCTTGAATGTTACTTTATTCAGGATCTTAATTGATTTGGAACACCCAATAGTGAAAAGGAAGAGAACTGAAAGAACAAGTTTTTTGAAAGCTTTGAAATTGAGAACTATAAGGGAAAAGATTGAGAGAACTGACCTGGAATCGCAACATCTGAAGTGTTACCATGGAAGAACTACACGGGTAAGAGAAATGCAGAAGAGAAATGAACGCGAGTAGACCATAGTTGTCTAGATGTTTCTATACCTTTAAAGGTGGACAAAATATCTAAATTGTCATTATGTTAGTTGTGAAATTACAATGAAGTTAGAAATAGCATTTAACATACCACAACAAACGAATTAGACTACTTACCTCGTTCATTGAATTGATATTGGAAGGGCTGAAATATTAAACCGTGGCAAACTTGGAGGCATGGAAGCCTTGCGTAACCATGATTCCTAACGGTCACGTACCAATTAAATCTCACACTTTTGTTGTCGCCAA